CCCCAAAACCCCAAAACCCCAAAACCCCTAATACTTCAAATTAAATAGGTATAGATATTAAGTGGGAATTCATTTATTAAAAATGAATATAGAAGAGCGATCACCTGACTTTGATATTGAAAAGAAATTCAAACCTATTAACAGAGGGAGAGAATTTATGGGTATCAAATTAAAAGAGGGCTATACAGTGGCGAATTTAATCTCCATCCCACTGATAACTGCTTCTCTCACTGTATCTTCATTCTACCTTGGAATCCAAATAGTGTTCATTCTCAGAGATCCAGAGTACTTTAACGTACCTAAAGAAAATATAGGCACTGTAACTAATAGTCTCACATTTTATGCAACATTCTTCTAAATCGCACTTGTAATCATCATTGGCTATATATACGACATTTTCGGCAGGAAGATAACTCTTCTCGCCTCTTTGATTGGAGGAGCTATTGTATTATTTTTGTTGCCCTATACAGCACCGAATGTGTGGCCTGGTCTATACCTTCTAAGAGCTATTTATGCTGTTTTTGCTACGGTTGGAGTTTGTTCTCCCTTGATAAATGATTATGTAGTTAAGGAATCGAGAGGCAAGGCCAATGCCTTCTAAAATTCTGGAGTCATAATCGGTGAATTGTTTAATCTTTTTGTGCTTTTAAAATTGACCAAAGACTTGTCGAATAGCCTATAATATCAGCTAGTTGCTGTGTTCTTAATTTTGGTGGTGGGTGTACTTGTTTTCCTCATGAAAGAACCAGCCAAATATTAAAAGAAATCCAAGACTTAGGAAAGCTTGCTAGTTAAGAATAGAAAGAATGAGGACTAGCTGAGTAACTCTAGTATACTTAAAAATGAACTAGAGTATGAAGTAGAAGATTCTTTTATTAATCATTCGATAAGTCACAAAGTCAAGTACCTCACAAAGCATGTTATTTGGTCACTCAAAAGTAACATCATCTTCCCAGTATGCTATTTTGGAATATTCTTGATGAGAATGAATGCAGTGATGGTTGTGACGTTTTACACTCTTTGGTTGTCTGGATTCGCTGGGACTGCATTGAAAGATTAAGATGAGGCATCAGAATTATTTTAGGAATACCTCACTATGGCTGTTCTTTGCGTCATCATTTTGATTGTGCCGGTAGGTAAAATGTCTGATAGATTCAAGTACAAGGATTTGATTCCTTGGATTGGATCAATCAATGTTTTAGCTATATACCTTATATACCAAATCAAAGATCCTAAAAGCTTTGAAGCTATGATTGTATTCGTCCTAATGACATGCTCCCTATTTATGCAAAACTTATTGACAGACACTCTATTTCAGAAAAACATTCCAAAGGATATCAGAGGCTCAATGATAGGGTGCTACAACTTTGTGGGCATCATAGCTATCCTATTCTTTTCAAAGATCGGAGGGTATTTGCATGATTAGTACGGTTCGCAGTACCCTTTTGTTTTTGTAGGAGTTTTTCAAGTAGCTTTCATCCTGATAATAATCATCCTAGGTCTAACTAATAAATTCAATAGTTGAATCTATCAAATATTACAAATAAATCTTCATAAATTAATAAAAATCCTCTTTATATCTAACTACTACTACTGACAAATACATTTTCAGTATGATGGGGTTTTGGGGTTTTGGGGAAACTCCCCAAT